GTAAATACAACTCTTTGAGGTTCGTCCCGGACCGATGGTAAGGGGGGGGGGGCAGTGTCACCGATCGTCTTCTTTTCAGTGGACCAGAAAACCCTCAGCTTCCTAGTCAAAGGTAGTTTGAGGCTGCTTTTGACTTTCGCCTCACTTGTCCCAAGGTTGTGGAAGGACTCGGATGAAACATCCTGCTTTGAAGGTGATCAGGGCATTTTCAGGAGTGTAGCTTCGGTAGGTTTCGGATGGGTCTGGTGTAAAGCGGATGAAAACTTGACACTTTGTAGCGTTAGCTGATTCATAGTTACAGGGAACATAGTCACTCTGTTCTTATCCTGACACTGCTGCCCTCTTTAAGTAGGACACCACAGGGCTGACACATGTATCGTTCCCTCCTTCCTTTTCATGGTACTTGGAGTACTCTGGGAAGATACTAGAAGACACTGTATTCTTTCTGACACTTCTTCTTTCATGTAACGAGCGAAAAAGGGAGCTAATAAAAGAAATGTCTACAGTATACAGAAGAGTCGGGAGAAGCAAGAGTGTTTAATTACCACCCTTCTCTCGTTGCCCCCTCCCCTACCAAAAGAAAGAGTCATGGAATCCAGTTTTATATTACTGTATTTTCACTTTTTCTAATTGTGGGGTTTTTCTTTTAATATTTTATTTTATTTCTTTTAAGTTTATTTATTTTGAGAGAGACAGAGAGAGAGCACACATACGCATGAGTTGGGGAGGGGGCAGAGAGAGAGGGTGAGAGAGAGAGAATCCACAGCAGGCTCCACACTGTCAGCGCAGAGGCTAGTCCGGGACTTGAACCTATGAACCATGAGATTGTGACCTGAGCTGAAACCAAGAGTTGGGTGCTTAACCCGCTGAGCCACCCAGGCTCCCCTAATAATTTATTTTTTAAACTGGGACACATGAATACTTACTCTTTTTAAGCCTTTTAAGCCCGACACCCTTAAGCTTTTCTGCCTAAAGAAGGTAGCAGACCTACATCTAAATGATGCTTCTAGAAATTAAGAAGCCCTCAGATGTCTTGCTCCCTTGTGGCACACAATTGGAGACCGTAACAGCGCCTCATTAAAAACAAAAGGCTGCTGGCCTCAGAACGCACCTGCTGCCTCTGACAGCGTCCACTTCCTTTCCCCTTGTGACTGCTGCCTTTTTTTGAGGGAGTGTTGGGAATGATCTCCTGGCAGTCACCATAGTGGGTCCTGGGTCTTCTGAAGAATGCTTTGATGCCTTGCATATCAGTCTTTCAGTCCCTTTTCGTGAATGAGAGCTTGGGTGTAAATAAGAGACAACCTCAAAAAAAAAAAAAAAAAAGTTGGATAAGTGAAGGGCCTCTTTTCTCATCAATGATGTTTTTCTTGAAGAAATTATAGCAGAGATTAGAAAGAAGTCTAACAAGTACAGTAGTTTCTCTTCTCTGCGGTAGATTTAAAAAGCACATCGGTGTTTTATATTTGAAGAAACTGAGATTGAGTGTTCACTGGTTTGGTGGGTTGAGACAGTGCAGTTTGGAGCACATCTCGTTCTTCTGGGTCCTATTTACTGAAACTCATTAAGGACTTTTATGCCCCCCAATCTTATTTTTAATGGTGAAATCTCATTAATACGCTTTCTATCAGTGCCAGATTTAATATTATCAATAAACACTTAGATCATTCAAGATTTAATAGTTTGAAATAAGTTGAGCATTTGAAATAATTTGAAATGATGATACATAGTATAGGCCTGAAGAATTGAAATAACTCATTGCTTAATATTAATCCTCAGCTATTTTTTAGTATATGTTTCCTACACTAATGATATTTTCAGTAGTATTACTGCGCAGATTCTTTCAGAATGTTTGATTTGGATTTTTCAAAATTGCCTGTACTTCCTGTAATCTATCCCTCTTACTTCCAAAATAAACAGGCTGTATTTCTGGTTAAAGGGGGGGGGGGGGGGGGGGGAGGGGGGAAGGCATTGTTTTATCTTGAAAGTTAGTACCTAACTATATTTTTCCGTATTACCAAGAAAAGATTTTCTCTTTACTTTCTGTTTTCTTTTTTCTTCAAACACAAGATAGTTTGTAATTTTATTCGACAACATCCACTCCATTAAACATACTGACTTTGTTTCTGTAAGAATGCTTCCTAGGAGGAGTCGAACATGCATTGGTTAAGATGTAGGTTTTGTTACGGTTGGATGTGGATAGGTTACCCCCTGGTAACCTCAGTTTCCTCTTGATTTGGTGAGGTTGATGAGAACACGGGAAAATCACCTCACGCTGTGTCTGGCCCTTATCTGCCACTTGGTAGATATTAGATTTAACCTGAATTTCCGTATTCCTCAGAAAACTGTACTGGCCAACTGAATGATGAATGTGAGGTACTTCATAAACTGAAAAATACCATAGAAATGTTATTTGTATGGTTGACTCTTAGAGAATACCACTGGAAAACAGCTGAAGGCTTGACCCAGGGACTAACAATAGTTTAATGTATAGACCTTTGCTAACGTGGAAGACAGATGTTTATGGCGTAATTAGGGTCATGTCAAAGGTTTCTTATCTACTGATTTATTTTTTTATTAATCTTTAAAATATTTATTGAACTTTCACTGTTTATGAGATGCTGTAAGTAGTATCCTCATGGTATAGATAGGAAGAAGTATAAAATATAGTTCTCATACTCAAGGCACAGAAATATCTATGATGGTGGAATTGCCCCGTTTCTGTGCTGTCCAGTGTGGTAGTCACTAGCCATGTGTAACTATAAAATGTTTCAAATGTGGCTAATGTGCATGAGGAACTGAATTTTAAATGGTATTTAATGTCGTTTGACTTACCCATGGGTCGTATGTGCTCAGTGACCACTGTATTGCACAATGTAGCTCTAGATAGAGACGAACACCCACCTGCGTGAATAGTAAATTGGGATTTACGGCAGAGCAGTTAGTGGTAAAGGCTGGGCTAGCAGCATGGGGAGCAAGTGCTGTGTGAGTGTATTAGACATAGAAGGAAGGCTTCGTATGTCTAGGCCAAGGGCCTTAGGGGAGGTGGGCTTTGAACTGAACTTTGAAGGCTGGTAGGATTTACAGTTTCAGAGAGGGAGCCACCTCCACATGGAACTGGAAATTAACCTGAAGCAGCAAGATGTGATAGAAAAGATACAGTAGAGTCAAATTATGGAAGTCCTTGACTTAATTTCTTGCATTCCATGTATGCATTCAGCAAAAGAGCACCTGTATTTCACAGATAGAATTCCAGCCCCTGGGTGTGCAGGTCTAGGAGTGGGGTGAAGACTGGTGAACATATCACACATGGTCCTTAGCCCAGTGGAACAAATCACACAGATTATGGGAAGAGCCTGAAAGAAGAAGTATATTTGAAAGAATAATAACAGAGGGGACTAATTTATATTTGAAGCTCAAGATAGTTCTTTTGAGGAAATAGCAATTAAATTGAGACATGAGGGATAGATAAGAGCTGGGTCAGGGAAAATACACTGCATCGGCAGTGGAGAGGCCCCAGTGGAAATTTTTGAGTAATGGAGTAGTAAGGAAAGGCAAATCTGTAAGTTGAGCTGAAGAGTAGGAAACCACAATCCTAATTGTCTTTTTACACTTGATTTTTTATGTGTTTATTTAAATAATAGTATAGTTGTAAAAGTTTGAATTTGAATCTTGGCTTGTCAGTTAGTACCTGGGTAGACTTAGACAAGACTGTTTATAAAGAAGGGTTAAAATTTCTGCTTTATGAGATTATTGTATGAAACAAATGAAATAGTTTATGTAAAACCAAACACAGAGCAGTACACATAATGAACACTCAATAAACAATAACAATTTATGTAGCTGTTTTAAAAATAAGTCCAGTAAGTGATATGTGAAATTAGTACTCTTTAGAATTGAGAAAGCCTATGAAGTTTCTGAAACATCTTGATTTAATCACTGGTAGTTTTAATTGTCTATATGAAAGGGTTAGCTATTTCACTAACTCTCCTATTTCGTCATTTAGGAAGGATTTCCAGGGTAAAGAAATAACAAAATGACTATTGGATTAAGAAGATTTGTACCGTTTACAGAATCCTTGGGCTTGTTTTCTGTGTGGTCGCTCCATGTTACAGGATCAGTTTAGTATTGGGGGACCGTTCTTCCCACATAAAAGGGAAACTGGGTGATACTACTTTTGAAAATAATATGTGGGCCTACTCTAATTGAGGGTGTTTCTAAAAAGTGCAGACAAGAGAAGCTGTCCAAACATCAGGAACAAAGTCAGTGTCCGTGTTATATGAACCTTGAACTTCATCTGGAAGCCAGTGGATCCTCATTGTGAAGTGAAGCACTTAGAAAGCTGTACCATGCTGTGGATGATCTTTTCAAGTAAATATGTTGGTACATTCCATTTTGCTCTTTTTTTGGAGCAGCCTTCGAAGGTAACCTAAAAAGTGAGCTTCTTTGTATCTCTTTAGTATTAGAACTTTTTCACCATTCCAAACCTTCATGTCTTTAAAAATCCTATGACGTTGGTTACACAGGTGTTGAGTGTGCTTGTTAAACACCAGGAATCTAAATTGCCAGAAACCTGAAAAAGACTGGAATTTGGTGGTGGTGAAAGAGTCAGAGATTTCTCTTATAACATTATTTCACAAAGAAGTAACTGGAGTTGTATTTAATATTTATAGCACATTCATTGCAACCATTTATATTAACATATAAAAATTAATTATGTAGGAAAATGTTTAATGTGAACTGTTGTTTTTAAAGAGGATTATAGGAGAGTATGCCCACTATAATCCCACTTCTGTGAAACATTTAGAAAAAAAGGATGCATTCCCAAACAGTAGTGTAGAGGGATGACAAAAGACTTTTAGTTTATTTTTTGCCCCCAAGTGTTCTAACTTTTCTTGAGTATGAAATTAGAATTTAAATAGCCAGAAATCTTCCCAGAAATCTGGAAGGAATTAATCTAAATTCTGCCTGCTTTCACTGATGTTTTTATCATTAGCATCATGGGTTCTGGGCTAACTATTAAGAGATCCAGATTTTTAACTTAGCATTAGCAATGTGACCTTGGGTGATCATCTTAACCTCAGTGGAGCTCAGTTTCCTTGTCTGAAAAAATGAGATACTGGGGGAATGAGGTCCCTTCCAATTTTAAAATGATTCTGGAATCCTATTCCAAATTGTCTGAAAAAAAAAAGTGGACTATGACCTCAGGGACTCAGCATAGAAGCAGTCTGAAGTCAAACACACTGTTACTTGGAAGCTTACTGACCTACCTATCTTTCTAAAGTACATGTTATATTTTTAGAAAGCAACAAAGCACTGTATTTTAGGGTCAAATCATGACAAAGGCTTAACTTTTTTGCTTCAGCTTCCCATCTGTTAATCGAGTAACTTTTCTCTTTGGCCTCAGGCTCTACTGAATTAAAGATAATACACGTCATCTTTGCCTGTCACTTTATAGCTTACCACATACTTTACCTTGTGTTTGCTTTTCCTAGCAGGCGTTGTTATTCCTGTATTGCAGATAAGGGTACTGATGACCAGTGACTTGCCACATTCACATTGGACTGTTAGAGGTAGACCAGAGGGTAGCGAGAACCCTGGACATTGGAAGATTGAGTGCTTTTGCTACCTCTCTTTTAATGTTCGTTCCCCCGATGTAGCCATTTTCATTCTCCTTACATGAGAATAACTGTCAGGTTTCTCAGTCAGAATTTGAAAGCTGAATGAGACCTAGCAGTCCATTTCCCTTAGAGATGTAATGCAATTCCACCATTTTACAAATGAGGAAAAGTGAGGTCCGTAGAGGCCAAATGAAAACTAGGACTTAGGCCCTCTGCATTGGAAGGAAATCAGGGACACCTGAGTGGCTCAGTCGGTTGAGTGTCTGACTTTGGCTCTGGTCATGATCTCGGGGTTTGTGAGTTCGAGCCCCGCGTCTTCGGGCTCTGTGCTGACAGCTCAGAGCCTGGAGCCTGCTTCGGATTCTGGGTCTCCCCATCTCTCGGCCCCTCCCCTGCTCATGTTCTGCCTCTCTCTGTCTCTCAAAAATAAATCAATGTCAAAAAAAATTTTTAAAAAAGAAGGAAATCAGATATAATGTTCTTTTGGAGAGTCAAGAAGTGATATTCTTTGAAAACGATTGATTTGAATGTTATTCCTCAAGTTCACAGTAACCAGCCTTTCGGCGGCAGTTACTGTGCGTCTGCAGTATCAGGGCATTCTTGTTTTTAAAAATTATTTCCTGGGAGAATGGTAACCAACTAAAGAAGTGTGTTTTTTTATTTGTGCAAATGGCTCTGTCCTTTCATTTAGGTACCGGATTATTAATTGGGCATTTTACTTTTGGTATAAATAATGAGCAAGGCAGGTTTTTACATGGCGAATTTAACCCCCCCCCCCCAAAATGTACCCAGAATACAGGATTCTTTTATTCCTGTTACTTGGCATTTGTACTGTTGACTTCTGCAGTTCTTTGAAGTGTTGTAAGTGGTTATTAGATCTCAGAGATCAGACTTCCTTAAAATAATGATGGTGAGTTTATTTTGTTTTACTGTAATTCTAGTTTAATTTTTAAATGTTCTACTTTATATAGTAAAACCTGAAAACCAGAAAATGCCAGAGATTCAGCCACATATTAGGGATAGCTCTGGATGTGGCTAGTTATCCTAATAGCGGATTAGGTAGATTTTACATTAACCAAACACAAATGCAAAAACGTTTTTGAATACTGGATGAGGAGGTCAGGTGTGCTCTCAGCATTGCTTTAGTTCTTCTCACAGCACTTTCTTTATACCACTGGAATGGCACAGTGGTAACATTTTATTATAGATATTGATACCACTTCCATCAAAACTGTCAGCCCTATGAAGTCTGGGTCCACCTTGTTTTATTCATTTTTGCATTTTCAGAACCTAACACAGTACCCAGTATCAGAAAATGTTTAAATAGTTCCGACGTCGTAAATCAGCACACTTCTGAATCAACTGGGCCAGTGGTCAGGACAAAAAAAGCCTTAGGTCTCAAAATCTACCTTAAGTTAAATCACCTTGAAAGAATGGTTAGTAACTTAACCCGTAGAGTACCCTTGTTTCTTGAGGTATCCCTCTGTCCTTAAGGAAGCGATCAGTAGAAAGTAGTGTACCTCTGTGCTCTGCTCTCCGGTTTAGAGTTTCCAGGAAGGATTTTATTTTAGTTCCATAGCCTCCCGCCAGTTTAACAAAAAAAGAGGGCTTTTCTTATAACCTGTAATTGAACATGTTTCCCCCTCTTGCATCTATCATACTACTCTGTTCTTGGTCGGGGAATCCCAGGGACATAATAGATAATGTCATACATAAGCTCTGAAAACCAGTTTTCTATTTTTTTTAATGTAGCCAGTTATCATAACTTGTTTATAGTTGAAAGGCATGTGCAGGTTTTGCAAAACCATTTTTGTGCTTGCTGGTTCATTTCCTATGTAAGTCAGCAGCTGTACATTCTGTTTAAATCTCCACCTCAAATGTAAATTTTCAACTAAGTTGAAGTGGTTTGAAAGAAGATGCCACCTTAAATGCAAATGATCAGATTCTAAAATGTATTTTCTGTTTCAGCAACATTTATCAGTGTGTGTTTATTTTTTTTTAATAACGTATAAAAGATCATAAGAAGAGGCCCACAGTCTCATTGACAAGATAACGTCTTTTGATAATTTGTTTCTGCTCATACATTATTAGGCAACCCACAAGTACATTTGTTGACATTTTTAAAAAATAGAAATGATACATTCAAATGATTAGGAAATTTAAACTGTATAAAAATAAAATTCTTTGTCCCCAAATTTCTTGGGATTCTTCTTCTAAAAAGATATATATATATAAAAGGCTTTGTGCCATACACTGTTGGGCATTTTGCTCTTCTTCTGGTTTCACAGATCTTGGCATCCTTTCCAAACCAGTGTATGCCAGTCTGCCTCATTTTTGTACATCTCTACCACATGGATAAGCCACGTTCTTCTGTCTTATGTTGACACAATTTAGATTGTTTGCAATTGTGTTGCAATGTTGCAATAAACATCCCATTGATATACTTTGGCCTAGGATAACTTCTGAGCAGTGGAATCACTGGGGGTCAAGAGTATGTGCGGTTTAAAATTTTGAAAGATGTTTTCATATTTCCATCCAAAGATTAGACCAGTTTTCATTTCTGTCAATGGGGAGTCAGCATACTAATTTTCCTGTACTATAGTCTGTATTAAAAACTTTTTTTTTTTTAGTGCCTACTAATCCAGCAAGTGAGCTAAATACTATTTTTAAGAGAGGGAAATATGTTGCTTTTCTTTTTAATACTCTGGAGGATTTGAAAAGCTAGCAGTCTTATCTTTAATTCTTCTTTATGTTTTACATATTCAGAGATGAGATTGGTCTGATCCCATGTCCTGAAGCAAGGTATAACCGGAGTCCCATAGTCCTGGTGGAAAACAAACTTGGTGTGGAAAGCTGGTGTGTCAAGTTCCTCCTACCGTATGTCCACAACAAGCTCCTTTTGTACAGAACAAGAAAGCAATGGCTAAACAAAGATGGTAAGTATGAACTCTGTCCTCTTCTTTTGTTTTTTAGAAACAGCATGGAATACCAGGCGAAGAACCCTTTTTGGGTGTTGGCATGCCTAGATTTTGGTTCTGGCTCTTTCCTTCACTGCCTGGGCAGCAGCTTAACCTCTCTGTCAAATGAGGAGTTTGGACCCATCAGTAGTTTTCAAATGTTGCATCGAAAGTGCTACAGGACTCTGGGCCACCTACTGCAACCTGGGCAGTAAATCAGAGGAGTTCTGATTTTACCTGTTTATACATCAGGGCTGTTTGTAAAATTTTATTTGAAGAAAACATCCTGTGGTAAAGAAGTTTGAAAAGTACTAAGGAAGACTCTAGTACAAGCTCAGGTTCTCGGGTGGTAATCCTTTAGTAATTCTGGGAGCACTAGAACTCATTTTGGTGGCAGACCAAATGAGATAACGGAGGTGTGTTGGTGGTAGTTATACTGTGAACCAGCTCAGTGATTTATGGAGGTGCTCTTGTGCTTTGAATCCCATTTGAGCTTCGGCCCTCTGTATCCTGTTCTTGTGCTGATAGAAGCAAAAGAAAACGGTCCCAGAATTCACTTCTTTTGCTCCTCTGAGACAGTTCTTTGCTGCATGGGACACTCTCTGTTCATCCTGCCTGGTCTCTTTTCCTAGCTTTCCCCCATATGTGACATTAAGCCTCCATGTGCACAAATCCCCTTTACTTTTTAGGTTTAAAAAAAAAAAAGTCATCCAAGACCGTGTTCTCGACTGTTTTTATGAAGCTGTCCCTTTCTGTATAGAGTGGTACCTTCCCCTTTCCAATACAGCAGTACCTTCAGAAGTGCCCAATACGCCTGGAGGCTAATTTTGAATAAGAACTTTGTTTCCTGGAGAATTTTAATTACCAGCTTGGTAGCCATTACCATGAGCCTACTCATACCAGAGGCTCTTCTAAGTACTATGGGGATAAAGAGGTGAGTAATACATGTTCCCTTTACGCAAGAAGCTTACAGTCGGGTGAAAAACAGCCTCCTTGTGGAATGTTGCCAAAGGTATGACATACTGATTTCCTTGTATTCCTCTCAGCCTCATCCTTAAAGGACTGTCCCAATAGCCCTTTTCTCTGTTTAGACCAATAGAAAAGGAATCTGATTTGAAGATTCAATGTGAAATAGTTTGAGTTTTCTTGTGTTGACTCAATTAGTCCTCTGATACATTTTTCTTATTTTTAAGGCTCTGCCTAAGTTTATGGCATAGTTGAGGTTTGTGGCATAAGCGTAATGGTCTGAGTTCAGGCATAAATTGAAAGGTAAGGGTATTTATCAGTTGTTGGGCCCTATTTCATTCTGCCTTCCATCGCCCTAAGTAGATGGATAGCATGGTTATGAAACCTGTGGTAGCTTTCAGTAACATTAAGGTACGGAATAACACCATGTGAATCCATCTGGTTATTTTTTGCCAGACACAGCTGTATTGTGTATGTTCTGACAAACAAAAATGTATAATCAAGCCAATACATAGCTAGCTTGGGGAGAGGGGAGACAGAATGATGCTCGTGTGGTGGAGAAGAAGCAGTCTGAATTTTGAAATGCCAAAGGCTTCTGTTAATGTTGTTTCAGATCATTAGTTTTTGCCGATTCATGTGTGCTGGCCCAGCCTGCCGTCTCCCTGGAGCCTTCCAGGTCCTTCTCTCCGTCTCCCTGTGTCTTGTCTCTCAGACACTGTTGTACTGCGGGCTTTGCCACATCTCCTCATGAAGTGAGGAAAGGTCCAAGAGGACCCAGGCAGAATCAAATGGTTAAGCTCATCACACGAATAGCTAGCGTCTAACCTTCGAATTCTGGTGCAACTGTGCATGAGAACAGAACCAACATGACATTATCCTCACCCAGATCCTCATGGAAACAGTTTTGAATTTCACTTTTTTGGTGGGTGGTGACAGCATAGTGTAGTGTGGTATCACACAGTACTCAGGTTGTATATTGTGTTAAGAATAAAAATATGGAGGGGCGCCTGGGTGGCTGGTGGTCCCGATTCAAGCGTCCGACTTCAGCCAGATCTCATGAGGTCGTGAGGTTCAGGCCCGTCCAGGCTCTGGGCCCAGTGGCTCACCGGAGAGCCCCTGGAGCCTGTTCCCCTCCCGTTCTGTATTCCCTCTCTCTCACCCCTCCCATTCATGCTCTGTCTCTCTCTGTCCCAAAAATAAATAAACGTTGAAAAAAAAAAAAAAAAAAAAAGAATAAAGTGATGAATTTCATTGGGACAGAATAGAAAATGCCTGGTAATGCTGACTACCAGAGAATTCTACCAAACTTGTCAACTGAAGCAGTTACTACACAGAGGTGAGTCTTGCTAAAAAAAAAAAAAAAAAAAAAAAAGTAAAAAATGCTAGGAAAAATCAGTTATTTCATGAAAATGCTGTACCTTTAAAACTTTGTAGAAAACATACATAAAAAGCACCAAGTGAAGAAAGCTGAAAGAATTTCAGAAATGTCAGTATCTGTGTGAGTGATCAAGCCCAGATCCTAGGTATCACTGGGGAATGTATTCTGCAACTGGAGGTGACCTTTATTCTTGGGATAAATTTTTTCTTTTTAACCAAACTGAATTCATGCTCTCATTCTTGTGCTGAATTCCTTAAATGTTTGCAAAGCACCTGTACTGGTTAGAGTTCTCTGAAGAAACCACCAGAATATGTTATATATAGAGAGAGATTACTTATGACAAATTAGCTGATAGGATTATGTAGGCTGAGAAGTCCCGCAGTCTGCTTTCTTCAAGCCGGACACCCAGGAAAGCCAGTGGTAAAATTTAGTTTGGGTCAGAAGGCCTCAGATCCAGGGGAGCCAGTGGTTTTAAATGCCAGTCCAAAGGCCAGAGGAGATTCGGTGATGTTCCAGCTCAAGCAGACAGGAAGCAAAAAGGACACTAAATACCTCTGAACAGATTGTATGATGCTCACCCACATTGGAAAGGGCAGTCTACTTGATGGAGCCTACCGATTTAAATGCTAAACACCCTCACAGACGCTCAGAAATAATGTTTAAGAGCATTTAACGTGGGCACCCTGTAGCCAGTCGGGTTTAGCATTAACACCAGATTGAGCCATCACAGCCTCCCTGTTAATTAGTGCCGGTTTTTAAAAGTCTGCTGCAGTAGTAGCCATATTTGGTCTGGGAGAGGAACAATACTGTAATTCTGATTTTTGAGAAATCTGTGACAGAAACAAAAAGGAAGAGAGAAGTCCCGGCGTTGTGACCGAGTAGAGCTCCGTCCCGCAGTGTGTGTCCAAGGGTGCCCATCCGTCATTTTCCTGTGCTGCTCCTTCTTTCTCATGGCCTCTACCCAGAGCCGCATCTCTTCAACAGCCGTCTTCCGTTCTTCGTGTCTGTCTTCTCGTCTGGACAGATGTAATTATCTCATAGCTGGTCTACCCTGTGTTCAGTCCCTTCTTCTATAATCCATGTTCATGACACCACTAGCCAGTTGTTTCAAACAATACTTCCCAGCAGCACTTCTTAGAGACACAGTTTGAGGGATGCTTGTCTGAAGTACAGATCTTTGCATCTTCTTTCATGACACCTATGGGTGTCAAGGTGGAGTTCAAACTCCGTGGTGTGGTGTTCAAGGGCATTCACAATCTGTCCCCAGCCTCCATCCCCAGCCTTTTTCCTCTGCTTTACATCCAGCATCAGAGGGTGTAGGTTTGCAGCCCCCAGACTGAGGCCAGCCCGCAGATAGATTTTGTTTCCGCCTATAGGATGTTTTTTTCAACTATTTTTCATTTGTTGGATAAACGTTTAAATTCAAGATGAACTTTTAAAGTTAAGATGGAAATCTGGATTTGTTTTCACTTGAAAAAGCAGGTACATAAGTTTCTGCACAGCAACAATTGGCCGGGGCTCATAGCCTCTGCTTTCTCGTGACTGACTCAGCCTGTTCCACTTTGCTGCAGCCTCCTCCTGTCCATCAGACACGGAGGCAGAGTGTCGACTGCTCCTTATCATCAGGTTTGCTTTGCTCTTTTTTTTGACATTCACTCAAACCCTAGAAGCATTAGAATTTGCAGCCATTTGCCATACCTTCCAGCCACAACAGACACTGTTCCATTCTCGGACTTTGCTGTGCACCACTGCCTTATTTCCATGCCTTTGCTGAGGCCAGCTTCATGTCTTATGTTGTCACCGTTGTTGTGGTGCGAACACACACCCACACACAGCACACACTTGTGAAGGCTGTTTGACTGCTCCAGGACGTGGTAATTACTTCTCTGCACTCCCCTGGGGGTCTTTATTCAGACTGCTTGCATAGTAGCACTTATCACACTTCATTGTCGTTGATTATTTAAAAACATTTTCCCCAGGTAGATTGTGAGTTTGTAAGAAAGAGGGATTATGGCTTGTCTGTCTTTATATACTCAGCACCATTGTGTGTTCAACAGACATTTGTCAAATAAGTAACAAGAGTTTGGTAAGCGAGAGGTTTTAGCTCAGTCTGGCTATCGATTCACTGATTGTATTCTGTAATAACAGGGCCTTTCTGGTGTTTACCACATAGTTTTATCTCAAGTGTCTCTTCTTGTGGTAACCTGAAGGTATTTTGGAGGAAGAGATTAGCCCACCTAGTTGGCCTTGGATTTATTTCTAGATGCATGAAAACATATCTCTGTCAGAGACAGTCGTCCATTGCAGCGACCATTACCAGGTGACTCCTGGCTTGGGGCCATTTCTGGAATGCCATTGTGACAGAAAGAATATTGATTTTTCTCTGACACTTCTGTAGCATCCTTTTGTCCTCTCCTTGTCACAGTTGAAATTTAGCTATTTTTCTGTGTATAGTATGTCCCGATTCATTTTCTCCTTGTGATGTGATGTTGAGTTAGACATGTATCAGAGTGTGTGTAACAAAGAACATTCATTTGCTCATATATGTTCTGGTATTTGGAGAGAGATCTTGGGTGATTTCAAGAGACCATGGGGATATCAGTAGTTCACATCTGCTGGGTAACAAAGAATATGG